AGGAAATAAAATTTTTCATTCTTTCCTTACCATATTAACTCAAAATTTACCACCTTTCTCTTTCTATTCTATGTGTTTGTGGTTAATAATTGTTGACATGAAACGAATAAAATCCATTAGGGTTATGAATAAAGCTCTGAACATTGCATCTCTAAATTACATCTCGGTCTGAATTTCTCAATAAAGTTAAATAAGATGTTAATTAACTCATTTTTAGTATTTTTTCGCTTTCATGAGCCGTTTGAGGTGTCCTTTTACGAAATTACTCAAGACAATTTTACTCATAATTTCAAGGCAATTTTCAAGTATTTAACAAGATAACCTAAATCAACCTCCGGTTGCCTCTTCCAGGAAGGAAGGGAGGTGGGAGTGGGTGCGTGAAGGTGTTTCCAGAAGGAAAAAAATTATATCTTGAATGAGAAAAATAGTAAAGTTTTAGATCGTCCAAAAGTTGCTCTGATTACTTCGCTGATTTGAGGTTTGCTTCTCCGTTCGAAAAGTCGTAACTCGCAAATTCGTCGGGTGAGTAATCGCAGGGCAAGAAATCGATGCGAAAATGCTTTGAAAATTTTTAACAAACAGCCAAACAAACTTGCTTGTTTTAGTTCTCTTTCTAACTCTTTTAAGCTTGATAAAAGTTCCTTCTGACAGGTTCAAGCATATTTTACACGGTAAATAGAAGACACCAAAGCCTCTAATTTTTATTAAATTTCACTGGTACATTAAGAAAGGGTTAGAAAGTAAAATTGTAATTTAGTATTATGAACCGACTTGATACGCAGATTGGCCATCGTAAAGAGTTTAAAAGCTGACCTTTTGAGCGTTACCGGTTCGTTGGAGGAATTAGGAAGATGGTGTTTAAAATAAAATGGCAAATGAAGTTGTTGACTCGGTAGGAGCCGAAGAGACTTATTGCGAACGATTTGTAGATCACGACTGGAGGATATTAGAAAATTTATTTTTTAGATTGACTATCATGAGTATTGAACGTAAAATGCAGTCTAAACTAATCTTACCAAGTAGATAAGCCTGCGTTGAAATTAAAATAAAATTAAAAGTAGCCTCCGAGGAGGACGGAATTATTCAGATCCTCTCGAACTTTCGCATAAATATGGCCATTATTATAACAAAGATATGTCAATCTAATTTGACATCTAACTGAGTCGGGGGCGGCGAGGTCGGCGGTTTGGCTTTGTTTTTGCGTCTTTTAGACAGATGAGATAAATCCAATCATGATTTTAAAACTCTAAAAGATGCGGAACAAAAGCCTTAGGTTCTCCAAGACCAAGAAAAACACGTGAAGCACCCATAGTGTTTCTTGTTTGATTAAAGACCTGTCGGCATTAATTACTAACAAAGTTTAGGAGACAAGTGTGACATAGCAGAGTATTCTAGAAACATCTCCTTTACAGTTTCATCAGATTTTGCTTGGTTAAGCAACAGCACACCAAGAAAATTTGTCTTATTTAGTGTTAACAACTGAGTTGAAAACGTAAATTAGCCATCGTAAAGGGTAAAAAAGCTGACGTTTCGAGCGTTAGCCCTTCGTCAGAGCGATTCTGAATTAGATGTTTTGATCTTTGTCGACTTTAGCATAAAAGGAGGTATCAAGAAGTTGCCGCAAAGCTTCTTTTTGGTAGAGGTCGGCCCGCCAAACAACAACTGCGCCGCCTTTGTCGGCCTCTTTAATGACTATGTCTGCGTTTTTTCAGACTTTTTAGTGCCGACCACTCTTCCGAAGAAAGATTGGAAAATTTGGTGTTACGATTGAATTTAGGTTTGTTGATATCGTGGCGACATTTTTTGACGAAAAAATCTAAAGATGAGAACTGGTCCTCTGGGGGAGTCCATTTAGACTATCGAATCTGAAGTGTTTCGAAAGTATCTTTGTTCGAGACGTTAGAATCATCCTCTTTGTCGTGAAAAAAGGCTTTCAATTGAA